TAATCTGATAGGATAAAGATTATGGGTCTGAACTAGACATAGACAATGATGAGTAAGATGCTAGTAGCATTGTAATAGAAGATATCAATCTTCATTCATTGGAAAAAACATGCACTTGAAAACCAAGTGACAACACTTTGTGAGAAGGGTGGAGAAATATAAAAATTGAAAAACAATGAAAAAGAGGAAAAATAGAGGTCACAACCCGTAAAATCTAAGAACATGGCCTATGGGTGGTGAGTGATCGTATTTGTGAGAAAGAAATAGTGACTCAAAACATAGATGTTAGCAAAAAAGTATTGAGAGTGAACCTTCTTCATAAAAATCCTTGCATCCTTGTTCACTTTTGGGAATCAATTGTTTCGATTTCTAACATTAACAATGATTTGCCTAGTGTTTTTATTTTTCTCTTACAAGATTTTTGAGAAGTGTAAAGTGATCCACTTGATGAATTACCATCGAAAAAATGAAACAACACCAAACCAATTTAATTCAAGATTCTATCATACCCCATCAAACAAACAATTTCGAAGAACCAAAGAGTTTGATTCACAGCAAAAAGGCTACATCCATGAAAGCCTTAGTCATTGTGTCATCTCAGTGATAAATCACGATTTTCAAGAATCCAAAGGTAAGTATGTTGTTACTCATTTTCATCATGATATTCTAACATACTTGTTCTCTTTTGTGCAGGTTAAAGCACTTGAAGTCGTCATCCATATCGATAAAGAAAAGGTAAAAACAATTGAAGAATGACCTTACCATCTGTTGTCACTACGATAAGATCTTTCCATAGCGAGCTTCTACCACCGCTTTGTCAACGATTCTTCCACTATTGTTGAACCTTTGACGAAAATAATCAAAAAGTCGGTTGAATTCAAATGGGGACTACAACAACAAGAAGCCTTCTAACTTCTTACAAGTAAGTTATGTTCTACCCAAATTTTTCATTTTCCTGATTTTTCTAACACTTTCGAGCTAGAATGTGATGCTTCAGGTATAGGCATAAGCGTAGTTCTTATGCATGAAAGGCAATATATCTCTTACTTTAGCGAGAAGTTAAAAACTACAGAATTGAATTACTCTTCCTCTGACAAAGAACTTCTGGCATTAGTTTGTGCACTTGAAGTGTGACAACTCTATCTTCTTCTAAAAGAGTTTTTCATACACCTGGACCACGATTCACTGAAGTGGTTAAAATATTGAGATCAATTTTCGTTTCTACTGAACATGTTAAGCATTCCTCAAAGCTTCCCAATAGAATTATTATTTCTTAAACCATACTTATGGGACTTCATGGACTACTTTCATGAACCACTTGACATGGTTTTTAAACACTCATGCTCGCCACACAAGAGCAAAATCATGGAAACAACATATGAAGCAATCACAAAAAAAACCAATAGTGGATGGTACCATGTTGAATTTCACAACAAAAATTGGATTTCAAGACTAGTGATCAAGAAAGGATTTTCAATACAACAAGAATTTGATTCCAACAAGGAAGCAACCTCTACTAAAGTGCATAAAGACACATCACATCGATCCAGGTAAGTGTTTTTAAAGTTTTCTTTTCCACACATCTAATTTTTGTTCTCTTGAATATTTATATTTATGGATGAATCCTTTTGAGGAGTGGGGGAATGATACATGTACTAGTCTATAACAATGACAACACATGCTTCTTTGGACTAATATCTATACTCCAACCTATTAGAAGGACATTATCTTGAAGATTCAAAGCATTTCTACTCAATAATTATAATGTGAGTGAATTCTTAGAAGGCTCTAATGTTTATGCCTTTGATGTTTCATATTCAAGGTCGAATACTTTTGAAGAGAATGAGGATGATACATGCATCACAATTATCACATCAAAGGAAGATGAACTAACGTTTCAAATGGACTCACATGACCAAGCCTTGGAAAAGAAGAACAACAAATCATCAGAATTGAGACTACTTTTTGAATTGGATTATGAAGTTATTTGGTCAACATGTATTCTGAAGATCCGACCGTATATCTCTTATCTTTCCAACGGTTCTTGAAACTCATCAATCCAAATCAGGAACTCAATATATTGCCATTTTAGTGAAGATATAGTGTGCCTGAAATTCCTATACAAGATTTGTAATTTTTAATATTTCTATCTTACGAATAGAGGATATAAAGGTAATTTGCTTGTAATGACAAAACCCAAGAAACCCCATTTTATTCTCCAAGCCACCACCTTTTAGATGCTCGATCTGGACCGTCCATCACATCTAACGGTTGAGGATCAAGTCATACATTTAAACACCTAGCTTTCATCTCCACCATCAGATCAAAAACTAGATCAAGGGCCTAAATTGATCTTGCCCACATCATATGGATTAAGGATAGTTTTATCTATTGTTTTATTCTTATTTTATTAGTTAGTCATGTTACTACAAGGACTCATCCAAGCCTATATAAGGTGGCTCCTTCCCATCGTTGTAAACACAACTTTTCTTCTTTTATATATAATACAACGAGAATTCATTTTTGTAAGAGCTAATTGCCTTGTGCCTTCGAAGCATCTTCTTCTTTAGTTCTTCTGAGTTATTGAGAGAGATATATTCACACTCTAGTTTGTCTTTTCGTTGCGATTAAGAGGGTTAGTTAGAGTCGTATTATCGAGTTTGCCTTTTCATTGCTACTAGGATAGTTCGATAGGACATATCCATCTATCTGATCATCAAGTATCATCATCATCATCTTCCATCATTCACGCAACCCCATACAAAACCTAATGTTTTCATTAAACCCTTTACCTACCGAGCTAAATTTTCAAAGATGTTTTTCTCTTAATCTGAACATACTATTTCAATTTCATCTTCACCATCTTTTCTATTCTCTCATCCTCTTTCCAATGAGTATTCATCAATCAAAATCTAACTGCAAAAACATTGGATGTCTAATACAAGGAAGAAAAGAACTTATTTATTTTATTACATGTTTTATTTTATGCCCTAATTCATTATCGTTGTTTTCATTATCATTAAATCTTCTTTGATTTTCCTTAGCCTTGTTTTTATTGTCTTATTCTCGTCTCTTTATCTATTTTCCATCAACTAAAAGCCTCTCAAAACCCTAATCTTGCTTCCACCTTCAAAGCATCCAATCTAAACCTTTTATTTCTTCATCAAGTCTAGAATTTTCCTAGGTTTGTTCCCTCGACGAGAAAAAAAATCACATCATCCACTGTCATTTCTCTATCATGTAGCTTAGGGTCACATATCATCACGAAAATCACACCCATATTTGAGCACTACTGGTAAATTAAGCGAGATATGGGTCATACAACATCAGCATCTCCCTATCACCTCAACCTATGTCTGTTTCATACAACATCGACACATTATCAGGCTAGTCTACTCCTCTAGAATACTCGGAACTTGTCTGGGTCACATAACATCATCACAATGTTCAACTAAGTTCAAAAATGCTATTGCGCTGACTTGGGTACATCTAAATATTTCTCAAATAATTGGACGATTGTCACACAGACAAAAGTAACTCAGGTGTCCTCATAATTTCCCGAGTGGTAAGAAAAGGCACAAGTCTTATGGAATTTTACGTCACAAGGTTCTTATAGTTATTACACATATATTATTATTATCATGAGTTTATCTTGTCATTATTATCAATTATAACCCAAGTAGGGGAGATCGCTCCCTCACTTACTATTATTTTGTTTGTTTTTTCTCTTGGAACATTATGCAAGAGCTTAATAGTATTTTAGGGTTTTATGCCCATAAGGCAATTCATATTAATATTATTTTAGCGTTTTATTCCCTTCGTTCACGATTACTCATTACGTTCTCAATTGAAGATACTTGGATATATTTCGTCTAATAAGGTTACTTTGGTTTTATCCCACTCCTGAGAGTGATTCTAGAAACCTTTTTCCATTTAAGTCCTTTATGGACTAAGTCCCACTGTCGTACCCTAAATTTTTCTAGGTATTTCAAATCGAGGGAAAATGACGTTTAATTTTAAGGACGTTAATATGGTGGCGCGAAGTTGGCTCGAATAGCGAATGAAGTTGAAATCATGGAATCAAGAGAATAGATAAATTCACATGCTTTGGAATGCACTAATGAATGGCTGGAAATTCGTAAATATTAACTCATTTTCATAACCCATCAAATACCAAATGCCCATTTACAAGAAGAAATCAGAACTCATACCCCAAGTCCAGTTTCTTACCCTATTACCCATTTAACCCACTTACAAATCCGTTACCCTAAGCCCGCTCACCCATGTGCTAACCAAATACACAAACCTAAGCCCAAATGACCCAAAATGTTAAAAGAAATTAGGAAAACCCTAGATGTGTAACACCTCATCTGTCGCCTCAAGGGTTTTCAAACTTTTTCAATTCCCAAATCGTGCTCTATATTCCTCGCTCATCATTCCTCAACTGTGCGTCTCCAACAAAGTACAACTAGAAACCCCCCCCCAAGGCACATCAACAACTATATGCAAAAAAAAAAAACAAAATGAATTGTAAACATCAGATTTTTTTTAATTTCTTGTAAATAAGGTATTATAGAAACCCAAAACCAGATATAATAGAGGATCCTCTCTCCATTCAAAAATTAGTGTAAACAAAGGGATCTGACAAGCAATGTAATTATTAAAGAATTAATCTTTTTTCTCATATATTTATGTTAAGAACGTAATATAGACAAGAAATATGTCAGTCCATAGGAATTTAAAAAAATTTAATATCAATCAAAATTAATCTCTAACTAAAAAATCAATAAAAACAAGAAAATTAGAAAGAAGGGTTTTTTTAAATAATAAAGCAAACTAAATAAATAAAATAAAAATAAAGTGCAAGCAATAAAAAGTAGAAAAAATAAATTGTAAAGAAATAATTAAGATAGAAGATAGCCTCGAACTTCGCTTCGCCTCAATATGTCTCGATCACTGAAATATATTTTACTTCGGATACTTGCCAGTTAGAGTCTACAAGACGCAACCCTTGTAACATTCTCTTCTCTCTAGAACTAATTTCCAAAGTCAATCTTCAAAATTTAACTTTTTTTTTATTAATATTGACTATCGATATTAACGCCATATTGGTTTGGAATTGGAAAAGTTCGTGCTTGGATTATGATGTTTCGATGAAAATCGATTACGATCTTTATTTCCCTTAGGATCGTCGCTAAGTTTGTTCTTAGAGAATTGAATTTGCTACAAGCCAATTCTACTACCCAACTATAGATCACTACGTTGATCAGGCCAATGTGTACTCCTTGGATTGAAGATATTGACGTTTTTAAAGAAATGTTGATTGTCTCTCCTTGTCTGCCAAAAATCAAGAAATAAATATAAATATATGAAGCGTTTTTGCAATTCTCACGATAATGGATCGAGTCTTCACTTTACTATAAGCTAAAATAGTTTAACCAAGTATGATAAAAATCATGTTTGTCGCATAGAAAGAAATAAGATGAAGAAAATAAATTTATTAAATTGAAAACTTAAAACAACGAAAAGCTAGAACTAGATCTATATTGAATTCTAACATTGTACATCTGTCAAGCTTCATCCTGATGGGTATTTATAGTTTGAGAAAACCTAAAAAAAATACATTACTAACTCTTCAAAGTATTCGAACTCTTAATTCTAACAAATTAAAAATCATAATTAATAAATATTAAAAATCCTAAATAATAGTAAACTAAAAATTCTATGTAAACTAAATTCCTAATAAAATAATAAAATATCAGATGTTTAAATTCAATTACAACTTTTTAATTCCTAAAGAATTATGGTTTGCCTTGATTTTCTCCTTTGATATTGTTACTTGAATTATTTAATCAGAGTTTATACATAGATCAATCTTTGAATATGAGTCGGTGCCAACTTCTCTCAAATAAATAGAGAAACATGTTTAATTTGACTTTTAATTATTATTTCTTGGAAAATAGAGTCATGCACATATTTAAATAAAAATAGTCTAAATTATCACTATGAAAAAAAGTTAACACGGATTAATAAACAACAAAATATAAGCTAAATAAAACACACATCGGGATATCTCTCCCCATTTTTTCAAATAGAAGAAGCAATTCAAAATAAAAATCTTGAAGGTTTTCTCTTCATTTTTTATTCTATTTTTTAACAGCATTTTTTCTTTCACTCTCTATTTTATTAAACAAACTAGAAAGATGAGAGTTAGTGTTTACCTTTATCGTTAGTAGTTAGGTCATCGGATCTTTGATAGTTGGGAGTTGTAGCGTCATCGGAGTCGAAAACCCAAACAGTCAGGTTCATTGGTCCGGATAAGAGGATTTTTGACCAAAAATATAAAAGGGGGCTTTGGAATGTTACCTAGTTAGATCTGATTTGCAGAGGAATTCTAGTTCGCCGTTGGGGTAGCAAAGAAGGGTAACCATCGCCTTAGGTCACCGGAGTCCCACGAACCGAAGCATCGATTATTTAGAAACTCGATTTTATGATTCTAGCCCCAAATAGGGGTATGGTGTATTGAATCAAGGGTTTTAGGGTTTGTTTGGGAGCCAAATTAGGTCACCGGACCATTGTAGATAGTGGCCAGAGATGGAGAAACCAAGAGGTCGAGGCCCTTTTAGGGCATTTAAGGGTCATATATTTTCTGTTTGGTCTTCGAGCTTTAAGTTAGGAAAGGAGATTGAGCTTTAGTGGTCATTTTTTATAGTCATGGTGTGTTTGGTCGGGGAATGTGAGATTTTTATGGGAATGAAATTTACATTCTATCGTTTGATTGACTTAGAATGTCATTTTCGATAATTTTATATTATTAATAATGGAGTTTTTGGGTATATTACTGGGAATGTCATTATCTCCTTTTATTAGGTATTATTGGATTACCGACGTTTTGGACTAAAATATCCTTAAAAAAATTTCTTTCAAAAATATTATTATTCTGTTAGTGAATAATAAAAATTCTACGAAGGTTAAATTACAAATTTATCCTTAAATTATTTTAAATTTACAAAAAAAATCTATAATTAAAATTTTATACGAAGTTTAGGGGTTAAAATAAAATTTGACCCTTTCATTAAACCTTTTTTATATTTTCAATTTTGTAAAAAAATTATATAAATTTTATGAATTCAATTTTTTGAAAGAAAATATATAAATATTTTTCAACTTATTAAAAAAATATATAATAAGGACAATTTGGTCAAATATACATTCAAATAATCTTTTATTCCTTTAACCAAACACGCTAATCTTACATTCGTGCTAAACTAACCAAACACAAAATACAATATTCCCAGTAATTCTATTCCCTAATAATCTTTTATTCCTACTGGTAATCTTACATTCCGTGAACCAAACGTACCCTTAAGGTTTACCCAGCTATTGCTAGTGTGGCCAACGACGTTTTTTTGAGGAATGGAGCAACGTTGGTGAGAAGAGGGGAGGAGAGAGTATGCGAGTTTTTTTAGGGTTTGTACATAAAATGAAATGAAAAGAAAAAAAGAAAAAGTGTGTTTTATAATAAAACTTTAGGCTTTAATTGCTTATTAGTCCCTCTAGGTTTAGCGATATTTTATGTTTTAGTCACTTGTAGTGTTAATTTTCGTGTTTTATTTAGTTTATGTTTTGGTCACACAAAAAATATGTTTTTGTCTTTTCAACTTCTACCATATTTTTGTATCTTAGTCAACATATTGTATCGTTTTGATTTTCTTTTGAATTTGCATGTCCTAATATTGTTATTCTTCATTTTTTTTTCTATTAGTTTATTGGAGTTAATCGAAAGGTTAAATTTAGGTTTTAGTCCCATTATTTTAGCGCAAAATTACTTAGTCACCCGTAACGATACGTTAGTTATTAATTTGAATATCGTGTCTTGATCCTGTAATTTTACACTTTTTAATTGTTAGTGAACTTTAGGTTTATAAAAGATGAAAAATTATGATTTAGTCCTCCTAGGTCCAACTAGCTCTTGCATTCTAGTCACAATGCAATGTTTCAATTTATTTCAATTTGATGATTCATTTCCATTCATTTTTAATTTGGTCACAATTAATGATTTATATATATATATATATATTAGGATTTTTCTATTTGATTTTAAATTTGAGGTTTGTATTCTTATTGTACTTCATTTTAGCCCTTCATGTTATTTTTTACCTTCATTTTATTTCTAAGATATGTAATTTATTTTATTTGTATTTTGGTCCCTATATTGTATATTCTTATATCTTTTTTACATATGTAATTTACCTAATATACATTATTTAGTAAACAAATCAAGGCAATATCGTTTTGTGTGAAGAATCTCTAGAGATGTCTCCCAACTACAAGGGAAGTCTGTTTCCGAGGATTATTCATATAAAAGGGCATTCTTATATTCGATGTTTTAGATTTTTAAAAAATTAAGACAATAATCTTTTGTATGGGGAATCTATGGAAAAGTCTACTGAATACAAGGGAAATGTGTTTCCGATGATTATTCATAATATCATAATTTAAATACTATTTTGAAATTTACAATTCTCAAACATGAAGTCGACGTATAATCAATTTGGTATCGATTTTGGGCGCCATGGGGTTACTCATCCTTCCCCACGCATAATCGACTCATGAACCATTTTTCAAAAATGAATCTCTAGTTAAATGTATATTAGTTTTATCTTTTAACTTAATTTTTATAAAAATTATTTTAAAAGATAATTTTAGGTATTCAACCTACCTAACCCAAAGGTCCACGACGACTCAAAATTTGTTTTCCTAAACCCTTGTTTTAAAACTAAGTTGGTTCGATCCCATTCTATCCCCAAAAAGCTTAAGGATTGTTTAGATAGTTTGGTTACTCTGATGGGGATCATAGAGAGCCAGGTCGTAATCGATTATATTTCAGCTTTATATTTGAAAATTGTAAATTAGAGTGGTATTCAAATTGTGATATTTTATTTTTGTTTTCATTGTTGTTTTGCATTTCATCATGTCATATATCTTGTTTATTACTAATAAATAGTTGTACTAATGTGTGATTTCTCATTATTTAAGATTTTTTTACTTTTGTTTTTATTTTATTTGATTCTGGATCGAGGAAAAGGATTGTGAGTTTCCCTTTGCATATTATGACCACTTGGGATAGTTAGAGCCTACTTATTGTGCTTTATCCCGCTAAGTAGGGGTGAAAGCTTCTCCTTCGTAAGAAAATTAGTTATTCGTATGGGCCTTAGCGATTAGCCTATGAGGTTTATACCTTATTTCTCCACGTGAAAATTGGTTCTTTGCATGGACATAAGGATATGTATCCTCTCAAATTGAACTTGGTATGCTTAAGCCTATAGTGGGTGAGGACCAATGGTCTGCCAGCCCCAAGGGGACACCAGTAAAGGACAGCTCGATGAAAGAACATTTTTGTTCTTCGATGCAAGATACGAAGAGAATTGGGCTTTCAAGAAAAGGTTATTTTCATTTCTCTTAGTGAAAAGAAGTTTTTGCAAAGTAAATGGCAAACATTTGAAAGAAAATCATATAAGAGTAAAGTAGGTGCCCTAGATATCAATGATATGGATTCTTTTGAATTGACACATCGTAGAATGACTCAAGTGTAGGTTCTTTCAAAATGACCTCAAAGGTTGTGGCAATGCATGAAGTGTTTGAAATTCTTTCCAAATCATCAAGCCTCCTGAGATTTCGGATGTCGTAATTGAATCTTTAATCGTGTTCAATTTTAATATAATGCATTTGCTGATAATGTTGTCTTGATTCAAGATATTCCCGTGCGCAAATCTTGACTCATTCTCAAGTCACTCTTTGCAGATTTTCAACTTGAAACCTCCTTTTGGTTTTACAAAAAATGGAAATGAAAGATTAAACCTATTGTGTGGGACGAAATCTGAAGATAATATATTCAACTTAGAAATTCATGTATGATTATAAAGGACTTTTGAAACAAGTAACGTAGGACATGGATCATGATTATGAAAAAAAGATATATAGGCCTAAACTTGTGTCTAAGGATGATTGAACCAATGATCAATGCATTTATTCATATTTTTCTTTTATTTCATTGTTTTTTTTTTTTTCTCTTTTTTGATACCTTTAGACTGCCTATTTGTTAGTTTTCACCCTAGAGGTCATTCGTTTGACAATTTGGATCTTTGAACTAGCTTCAGCTAACATTGTGGTTTAAAGTCACTTCATTTTGTGGGAATAATTATATGTACCCCTTTTTTCCTCTTTGCTTAAATTCAAGATCTCAATTTTTTCGAGCAAATGTTACATCCTTTATTACTCTTGACTTGGTTTGAATCTTTAAATGTATCACATCTGGTCAACCTGGTGGTGCTTTGTTGTTGATCATATTTACTCATATAAGTATATTTTCCTTCATCTTGCCCCTTAATATGGGAACTGATCCTTGGTTAGGGTTAAATCCAATAAAAAAGAATATTTAAGGCTAAAGGCGGGACATCAATGGATATATATATTTTTCTTTTTTCTTTTTTTGAAGTGGATAGTGAAATTATGTCATTCATCATCTCATACATAAAAATCCTTGTGAAAAAGATATCCTCAAGTAGGTAGATGTTTAGAGATAACCTTTTATTCAAAAGAGTCATTAATGTATTACGATTATTTAATTTTTTTTCTTTGGATTTTTTTGCCCTAATTATTTGAGCTTATTCTCTTTATCTTGTCTTCTTGTTCAATGTCATTTGGATTGTAGCACACTTAACCTGTATACATCCCCAAATACGAGCCAAAGATGTCACATGACATTTATAAACATTCTACAGTTGAAAATTTGTACAAATTTGAACCTTTAATTTTTTCAATTAATTCCTTTCAATAAAATAATTTAAATCACGTAACATCAAAATATAATATTTAAACATTCAAATCGATATATGTTTCAGTATGAACATCCTCTAATGTTTACTTTTAACTTATTAGTGGCATGTATATAATGTATTTTTGTTTTACTGTTTAAATATTATAGTTTTAAACTAGTTTCTATAATAATAAATAATATAGACTTGGTATAAATAGTAGTAGATAAAACAAGTATAATACATGAATAGTAGTTTATTAATTATATTTTATATGCTATCAAAATGGATTCTAAATTAGGCAGTTTATTTTATGATATGAAACGACATTAAACTGTCAAATTGTTGCCTAAAACTGATAACGATTTGAATATTTAAATATTATATTTTGATGCTACACATTTTAAATTAATTTATTAGAAGGAATAAATTGGAAAAAATGAAGGTTCAAATTTGTATTTGTTTTCAACTATAGAATGTTTATAAATGTCATGTGACATCTTTGACTCATATTCGGGGACAAATAAGGGTTAAGGGTGTTACATTTATTGGTATCATAGCTATAAGTTTAGTCGATTCTCAGCCAAAAATGGGCATGTATTATGTGAAAAATATGTACATGTCACTAGAATGTCAATATTATTGATCTGGTATGATTATGAGATTTGATTATTGATGTTACTCCATACTAACGTAAATTTTAAATTTTATTGTTTTAGATGTATAATTCAAAGAGCTCACGATGACCTACTGAGCAAGAGGTTACTGAGGGAACAAGTATTGGAAGTAATGAGGTCGATCAAGCGCCTCCTACTCAGTCCGAGCAACAGGGGC